GGCACAACGTGAAAAGCTCCACAAAACTTTCTTTTGTTCACATCCTGCTCCCCATCAATCACAGAAAATAGATCAGTGACAGTTGTTACAAATTCTTGCTGCTTTCATGGTTGTTGAGTGATGATTCCCTCTCTCTTTGTGCCTCTCTAACTTTATATTTGATCACTTATATAACTAACAACTGTGGTGGAATTTTACAAAGTACATTTACTTAATGAGTAATATACAAATTTGAGGTACTTGTACTTTACTAATATATTTTATTTCCATGCCACTTTCTACTGCTGCTGAGTGTTTTGTAGTTTAGACTCTTACTTTAAAAATTAAAGGGGCTCTATGCGAAATTCAGAGCGTATGAGTTGTCTGCACACAGCGCTCTGAGCCAGCAGCTAGCAGCTAACGGTGCTAACTCCATTCGTTTTAATATTTTTGGAGCTGGGCCACTTGTGAAGTGCACTGTACATACACACACACCCTCCAATACCATTGCTACACACACTCGCAGCGCAGAGTGTGCAGAGCAGCAGAACATCAGGTGCAATGAAAGCGAAACTTAACCGCGCTGGGTGTAAAGGTTTGCCTTCTTCTCCATCCATCGATCTGACCTAATCAGCTCTGATTGGATCGTCTGATCAATTATCCACCCCACAACTCAAAAATCCACAAACTGCTGCTGAGGTAAAAAATTAAAGTGTTGCATTCATGGACCCGCAGGTATAGAACAATATAAAGATATATAGAAAAGGGACACAACGGAAAGTTGGTCAGTACATTTACATGCAGAGTTAAGCTGAGCTACGGTTACTCTATAGCTCAACCAGGCCATTTAATTGGACTACTGTCCTGAATCAATTGAATCAATTTATTGACCCAAATATGTCCAACTCAGCAACAATAGGTGGCTATAGATGAATTCAGCGAGCAATTTGTGTATGCCGCCATCTTGCGGCGGCGCCATTGCTGCGGTGACATGTATCAGTCATCAATTCATAATGCTGTCAGTGTGAACTTACTCTCTGGCCTCCAGTAACTGATGAAGGTATCTTAAATGAGTACCGATATTAATATAGAGATTAATCATTTGTTTGAGCGATAAGCAGGAATGATTAGAGTAATAGGGAGATAAAAGACTGTATCATTAAACACTGTGTAATATAACGTTAGCATACGTTACGTGTGCTGGCGTTAGCAAGCTAGCAGCGTGACATTTAGTCATTATGGACAGGCTACGTGACTTTTTTTTTTTTTTAAATTTTACTAAAAGGCGGTGTAAAATTTGCCCGACCCATCCGGAGTTCAGGTAATTTTGACCCTCAATCAGAGACCTGTAATTGCCGTTTTTTTGGTCATCGGAGGCCAGGCGATCAATAAAATATTCTTGAATACCTAAAACAAAACACAAACACGTGTTGTTGTTGTTTTTAGTCACATAGCCTGTCCATAATGATTAAATGTCTAGCTTGCTAACGTCAGCACACGTAACGTATGGTAACATTATATTACACAGTGTTTAATGATACAGTCTGTTATCTCCCTATTACTCTAATCTTTCCTGCTTATCGCTAAAACAAATGATTAATTTCTAAATTAATATCGGTACTCATTTAAGATACCTTCATCAGTTACCGGAGGCCACCGTCTAACATCATCAATCCAGCTATTCATGATGCTGTCATTGTAGAGAGTCAGTTCACAATGACAGCATGATGAATTGATGACTGACACATGTCGCCGCAGCAATGGCGCCGCCTCAAGATGGCGGCATACACAAATCGCTTGCCGAATCCGTCTATATGCCCCCTTTCTGCTTGTTAGTGTCGGACCTTTTCCAATACTAACAACTAAATAATTCACAACAAACAAGTTAGCTACGGTTAGCTAGTGGCAAACTGGTACCATGGTGGACAACTTTACAGCTCTGTACATTCTGTCCGTCCAAAAATGCACAGTTCTGGATGTAGACTTAGCCATGTTGTTACCGACTTCTTCTTCTGTAACGCATTTAATGCCATTCTACTTACGCATCAAAGCCCGGGATGGAAACTGTGAGCGCCTTGGCCAGTTTGGGCCTGATTGACTGTATACATGCAGGAGTAATTCGATTCCCAATTGCATTATGTGGATGTGTTAGTCCAAGTTTGAAAAATTTGATTTAGTACATTTTCAGTCAGACTAACATGTTTACGTGTATTTCACAAGTCTGGTTTTAGGCGTGCTAACACAATAAATTGATTTTCTCTAATATGATGTAACTGTACTGAGTGAGTGAATGCCACACAGATTATAAATCTGTGGGAAACACTGGCGTTAATCACAGTACAGGCACAGGGCATAGCTAGTGGTGGCAATGAGCTCGCTAGTTGGATGCACACATGGACTAACATGCACATGAGGCCGGACCAGCTTACCACAACAATCAGGGGGCAGGTTTGTCATTGAAAAATGCAGCCCATGGTCATGATGGCATCAAAAGTGTCCTTATTAAAGAGACCAATGATTATATCATCAAACCCCTCACTCACATCCTCTCTCTGTCTCTTAAAACTGGAATTGTCCCCCAGGATTTAAAAATTGCTAAAGTCATACCGATCTTCAAGACAGGCGACTCCCAGGAATTCAGTAATTACAGGCCAATATCAATTCTACCATGCATATCAAAAATCTTGGAAAAGCTTGTCTATTCTAGATTATTTAATCACTTAGCAGCCAACAATATTTTATATAAACATCAATACGGCTTTTGTAAACGACATTCTACTGAGCATGCCCTCATTCAACTTGTTAACTATATTTCATTAGCTCTTGATAATAAAAAATTTGCCCTTGGAGTCTTCCTGGACCTGAGTAAGGCATTCGATACGGTCAGTCATGATATATTGATTGCCAAACTCAACAGATACGGAGTGGAGGATGCTGCCCTGAAATGGTTCAGAAACTATTTAACTAACAGAGAGCAATATGTTCATTTGGCAGGCTTTACCTCCAAGAAATCACAAATTATGATTGGTGTTCCTCAGGGATCAATCCTGGGGCCTTTACTGTTTTTAATTTACATCAATGACATGGCCATGACATGCACCAAACTTCTCCCAGTACTATTTGCAGACGATACAAACCTCGTAGCTGCACACGAAGACCTTAATATTTTAATTAAAACTGTCAATGAGGAAATATCCTCTATTGCGGAATGGTTTCAATGGAACAAACTTACCCTCAATGCAAAAAAATGCAACTTCATGATTTTTTGTAATACTAATAAACATTATCCTATAGAATTAGCTAAAATCTTTATCAATTATACTCAAATTGAATTGGTTCAGCATACTAAATTCCTAGGAGTTATTATAGATAGCGGTCTTAAATGGTCTGATCATATTGACCTTGTCTCTAAGAGATCTGCGAAAATGCTTGCCATTTTGAGGAAGGTTTGTCCCTTAATTCACTCCTCAGCTTATTTAACCTTATACTATAGCTTTTTGTTCCCATTCATTAATTATTGTAACATTGTCTGGGCAGCAACCTATCCTACATACCTGAATAAATTAAGTGTCATACAGAAGAAATATGTCAGATTTATATCCCACTCAAATAGATATGCACCCTCGGCACCCCTTTTTAAAAAATATAAAGTACTCCCCATTGACAAGGTAAATGTTTATCAAACATGCTTACTCATGCATAAGTTTATATATAGGAAACAAGATCTTCCAGACACCTTTCAGAATTTGTTCATCCCCACCACATATGTACACACATATCAAACTAGACACAGCAACTACAGTCTACTCTTACCCCGCACACGGACTTCAAGACACCAATTTAATATTACTTTTAGAGGTCCTAAGCTCTGGAGTGAATTAAGCTCATCACTGCGATCAATGTCCTCCCTTTCTGCTTTCAAAAAGCATTTGAAGAAACTTCTATTACCCGCCTGATCCCTGTGCTCATCCTTCTCTGTGGAACTCTGTATAAGCCTGCAGAGGCTTCATTCCCACCTTGCACAGTTTTGTACTTGTACTAAACTTGTGCTAAACAAATAAACTAAACTAAACTAAAAGTTACCTACATTGGATCTACAGCCACTTTAAAGAAGACACTGATATACTGAATAAAACCAAAGCAAAGCAGATCAAGACAGGCCACTAAAACTTAATGTATTTCAACTAAATCTAGTGCTTTTATTAGATTAAAATATATATCCACTGTCAGTTTCCCATTTTCAGATGATGAAAAATACGTCATATGAGCTGTAGTTGTGGACTAATCTGTCTGACTCTAATCAGACACTGCTGCTTCATCACTCTGGGGCCCCTCAGCTCTCCCTACTCAGGACCCTTATCACCACAAGGCCTTATCTTATCCACACCATCTACCTCAGACTCGCCACACCCTCAGACATGAGCTACTGGCCCACAACATGACTGGGTCTGCTGTGTTTATTCCCAGGACGCCTGAGTCGCCTCACCTGCACCCTCCCAGTGTCTCCTGCTATCACTCAGGGGAAAGATAATGAGGGATATTTGGCCTTATTAGTGTCAATAGTGCTATTTAAGGTCTAATCATCTGTCATATGGAGAGGCATGTATTACTCTGGATGTCTGACATGTTTTCCATAACAACTGAGCTTAGTGCTGCTGTTGCATAAAGACGCCTGAGAACATGCTGCTGTAACTGGAGGCTTGAGGGAAGTTTAAACAGATGGAAATTACAGTGGTAAAATGTTGGTAGATGAGGCAACAAAGATACTACATACGGATAACTGATAGGTCCATGCAGGTGCTCTACAAACAACTAAGTCATTTCAGTTTGGCCTGCTCACCAAAACTATCAACAGTTGCAGCGGCAGCAGTGGCTGATAAACAGCTAAAGTTAATGGAGGATGGAATAAGGATAGGATAAGCTACTTGTATCAAAAATCTCACCTCTTCCCGGACTCGTAACTCAGTCAAATCTGACCACACAGACAAGGAACACATATATTCAAATTAAGTAGGACTTACTCTCTCTGAGGATATCATTATCTCCGATGTCCATCATGAATACACCTCCATAAGTCCACTTGGAAATCAACAGAAAAAGACGCTGCGAAGTTCCAGAAGCTGCTTGAGAATCGTCACATTTTTAAAGTTTCTTGGGTGTGAAAGTATTTCAGTTGTAGCTGACTGTATGTTCATGGGTTAGTTGCAAACAGAAACTGCTAATAGCTAATTCGGCATTGTTTTAATAATGCCATTTTGCCTAAATGTGAACAAATATGGCCTAAAAAGAAGGGACTCAAGTAGCTAAGAGTGAAACCCATTGGGCCAGTGGCAATATTATGCCCCAAAGCATTATGGGAGCTGTAGTGCCAAACCTCAGAGTATGAATGTCCAATTAAGAGGTGTTGTGACAGGTTGTGTTGAAATAGTTTCTCAAATTTTATCACAGTGACTGACTTTCGAAAACACCTGGTTTAATTGGTGCCAAAAATCCAGGTGTAAAAAATGAAAAGTTGGGCGGAGCCAGGCTACGTGTTTCCCCATGTGTCCAGGCTGTATGCTACGCTAAAGGCCCAAACACACTGAAAGCATCCCAGCCAACATTTGTATATGGGGCCCATGTGGGTAGCAAATGGGCTGAAATTGCCCCCTATACTGGGTTGTCCACATGTTCCATATTGGCCCCATACCAATTGCCCACATGGGTGGGTTTGCCCAAGTGGGCTCCACATGGATCATGCTGGGGCTACCTGGGTACAAAGTGGGCATGGGTCCAAAATGGGCATCTTATCTGGGGTCCACTTAGGTAAACCCACCCATGTGGGCCAATATGGAACCTGTGGACAGTCCCATTTGGGCCCATTTTTCAGCCCATTTACTACCCACATGGGCCCCACATACAAATGTTGGCTGGGATGTGATACACTTCCTGTTTTAAATGGCTGAATATGCACCATGCATGAGGTGTGTCAAACTGCTTTGCTCAATGGCGCATGAAGCCAAAAAAGTTCAACTACCATGTATAAATTACCCAGAAGATCAGCGCTGCTTCTGCACTGTTAGGCCAATAAAGCAGGCGCACTAGCAACTTCTGCTGACCAAGCTGGCTACTACCAGTTCAGTGCTTCCCTAACCTGAAAAGGGATAAAATGAATCAATCATGCGGCTCTTCTAGACCTTTCAAATGTTCTTGGACCAAATGCATCAAATCCCGACCATGTCACGTGCCATGTCACTTGGTCATCTTGGTCGCAGTGTCAGCTTCTGCCTGTTACATGCATTGTGTCTTTTCAAAATACACTTCTCTTTTCACAGGAAATGTACAGTTTGTATACAGTCTCTTTCAAAATAAACACACTACATCAGTACAACGCCACAAATTGCTGTTTTTTCCCTTCAACAACAATCGCATGTGGTTACGTTAGCCCACACTAGCACATGATTAGGTTTGGGTTTGGCTTTACATTCATACAGGAAGTGAATACTGGCTTCCACGGAGAAAGTCAATAGCCCCTTTTACACTGCCAGATTTTCCGCTAATGTTGGGCTGTTTTGCCGACAAGCTGCGAGCATTTAGTCACACAGAGCCAAATTGGTGAGTTGATCCGTGGTGCCCAATTTTCCGTCTCGTAGGGTGGAACCCTTTTAGTTTAAACAGACCGAGGCGGTCTTCCACAACGGGAGGGGCTGTTGAAGACTTGTGGGAGGAGCTGATGATGACGCCACACGTGTGACCCACTGGCGGTGGATAAACAGGAAACAGCTGATAGCAGGACTTAGCGAGCAGCTAGTAGCAAGAGGGAAACGCAAACCTGACAGACACTTTAAATATAAGCAAATGGGGAGACAAAGAATTGCGCGCCCTCCTTGTCCTCGCAAATGAAGAGGCCATTAACCGTCAGATGGCGGGGACGGTGAGGAATGGGCTGACTACGAGAGAATCGCCGAAGGACTAACCAGCCAACTGTAACTCTGCAATGCTAAATGAAGACAGTTACTACTGCAAACTTTTACAGATCTGAACTGTATTGTTTCATGTCATATACTTAAAATAAGAAAAATAAACACTTCTATCATCTATCAAGAATATTTACTGACATCTACTGGTCATAAAACTTAACTTGCTACATAAACCTAACAACAGCGGTTAATTCGCATTGTATAAAGTCATGATTAGCTTTGCTTAATTTGACTTTCATTCACCTGGAAGAAAAAATAAAAGATGAAATGAGATAGAAAGCAGCAGCACCCAAGATAAATAAAATACTGCTGGTTCTGTGATGATCGCGTTTCAAATCTGATACCTACAGTCCACCCAGAGCATCAACTGACGTGTCAAATAAGGGGACACTTTCAGTATGTTCAGGCCTGACTGTAGTCTCATGTTAAACAACAGGTATGAGAATGGTATTAATCTCCTCATCTGACTTCTGGCAAAACAAATCATAAATGCATTAAACAAAAAGTCCTCTGCTATTCCTTTAACATACATAAAGATAAGCAGTGAGGAGAGGCATGCAAGAAGTCAGACAAAACAGGTTCCAAATGAGCACAATAGGTCTTGGGTCTGCAATTGTCCCTAATTATGACAATGATTCAAGGGAGCTCCACATTCCAGTGCCTCTTATGGTTTTGCTGCTATGTATCTTGGAGCCTGTGGAGCCATTAACACGATACCAATCTCACCAATGGCTCCAGTTTGGGCCTCCCATGGGCTCCTGAATGCAACCTGTCCAGCCCGAGGGGATCCAAACATCCACCCTAACCCTCCCCTCCCCTCCACACTCACACACTTTTCTCCCCGAGGAGGTGGGCATCAGGACAAACAATCAATGCCAATGACAGATCCACGTCAGACAGAGCATAATTATGGGAACAGCGTTCTGAGAGATACTGTGTCATTAAAACCCACCGTCTCCACTCCAACTGCAGCAGACTCTTTCCTGCTGCCTGTTTGTGCTGCGAGGTGTGTGTGTATGAAAATGTCAAGCTGGACCAGTGTTTCTAATGTGTCCCTTGTCCTCATATAACTTTTTGTGTAATTGCACCAGAGGCTGCTGAGTGAACCTGTAAAAGGTGCAGCGATGTAGACATGACAGAGACATGAGACTAAAACCTTTTCAGGGGCCATGCATGACTGAGGGAAGCCTCAATTGCACTTGACAGCCGCAATTTGAGAAGTAAATTGTCGAAAATACTTACATAGCTGCTGTCTGATTTCGAAACCGCCCAGACACCATTAATGCAAGATTATTCAGAGGAAGATATGACACATTCAGTTTGCATGGGCTGCAGAAAAGTAGTCTTGGCACTCAATTTGCACAGGTATATCAGGATAATGTCCTGCAGGCACTGCACAAAGACATGATCTGTGTTTGTGTTTCTCTTCTTCTTCATCTCCTTGTAGGCAGTAATTAAGCTGCTGAGCCAAACATCAAATCATGTAGAGGCCGAAACAAAACCCAGGAACAAATGAATGTGATTTAAAATCTGTCTCTTTCAATTTAAGGCCCAGTGATGAATCAATGAGATGACAGCTGAGCAATGAAATACAGCATCACAAGTGGTGGAAAAGATAATCTGATCTTTTACTTAAATAACTAGTAACAACACCACAGCACAGAAACACTTTGTTACAAGTAGAAGTCCTGCATTCAAAATTTTACTAAAGTACAAAAGTGGGCTATAAGCATCAAAATATAGGTTACTTAAAGTACTGAAAGTAAAAGTACTCTGCATGAAGAATGTTACAGAGCGAAAACGAACAATTTCAGATACATAGATAGATACTTTATTACTCCAGAGGGAAATGAAGATACCCAGTAGCTTATTTTTATTGCCAGGTAGCTTGTGAGTTGCACCAAAGGATCAATGAAGTTTTATCTGTATCCATAAAGCATCATCTAGCCTGTTAATTTGTTGTTTATATTTTGCATCCAAATCAACCCAGTAACTAGTAAAGCTATCAAATATATGTCGCCAAGTGGAGTAAAAAGTACAAAAGCGATTCTCAATTGTAGTGGAGTAGAAGTTTAATGTCACAGAAAATTGGAGATACTCATGTAAAGTACATCAAGATTGAGTCCTAAATGAGTTAGCATTTTAGCACCCCTGGCTCCCTCGTCTCAAAGTCAGTGGGGTTTTGATTAGGCGACTGAAATAACTTCTGTGATTAAAACAAGTTTAAGACTTTTTTATTTTGTTCCACAACATAAAATATGCCATTAAATACTCCACTCATTAATTTTGCAGCTTTTGTATGTCTCAAAAAAGGCAGCTGCTAACAAGTAGCTAAATGAGACTACAGAATCATGCAACCGTGGTGTACTCAAATATTAGCTTTGTGGGTCTTCTTCTGGTGATTGAATTGAGGCTTCAAAAATCATACAAGTGGTTTTAAGTTGTGAGGATTATCTTGCTGAAAGAAATAGTGTAAGTATTATGATTGTATGTTTGCCACAGAACTTATTTTCTGTAATAATCCAAAACCTATGGAAAAAAATCCCATAGGCTTTTGGTGAGGGAACCAAGGCGACACTAACTTCCACGTAGGCCGAAAAACATCATCCCTGGAGCACTCTATTGTACCTAAGTATAGTGCTTGAGTTAATGTTGCCTACTGTATTACTTTCCACTGCTGTAAATCACACATCAAACCTGTAACAATTAGCAATACTATACCAGCAGGAAGACAATCTGTTCTACCCTACAAAGCCAAAATACAGTAACATATTTAACAACTCAAAGTACACGTCAAATAAAATTTCTTCAAACATGTTTCTTGTTATTTTAGGTAGTTATTATCACGCTAATGTATGTTCAAGTGTTCATTTCCCCCGATAAGTTGGTTTTAATTCGTTATTTGATTCTATAAACACAGTCTGACCATCTCAAGCTTTTATTTTGGTACTTCCGGTGACTGGCAGTGTGAATTTGCATATTAGCTAAATATTTAGTTTCACCCAGAACATTTAGATTTAACATTTAACATTTAGATTTATATTTAGCATTTAGATTTAACATTTAGATTTAATATTTAGATTTAACATTTAGGTGCCACATTTAATATTTAGATTTAACTATTTCATATATTTCTAAGTTAACAAATGTTGCTGTAAATGTGGTAAAAGGTGACGTTAAAAAATTCACAATACTTTTTTAAACATTGTTTGAAGCTAAATGTGGCAAAATGTTGATGTTATTTTCAGCGTGAGACACTTTACAAACAGCACCCCATATAAATCTAATCATCATCATATCAC